ACTTGATCTTCACCAAAAACGAAATTTGCTTGTTGATTTAGTAGAAATCCATGATTTTTTTTCGTGAAACTTCAGATTTTCTAGTTTCTACGGAGGAGAGAGAGAGAGATAGAGTGAGAGAGAGAGTGAGAGAGAGAGAGAGAGATAGATAGAGAGAGAGATAGAGAGAAAGAGAGATAGATAGAAAGAGAGAGATGAATAGCTATTCTTCTTTGTCTTGAAGAGTACAAAAAATGGGGAGTTTATGAATAGATATGCAATAAAATGGTTACCCAACTACTAAATATTCTTAGATAAATACAAAAGGTTGGAAACCCAAAAACCTAATTATATATTATATTTAATAACAACTAGTCAAAATAATATTAAGTGTTACATATAGCAACATCATGGAACTTCATTGCCAATATTAACACAACCTAAAGTAAGAAATTTTTATATATTGACCATTTCATATTTAGGAAGTGCAAAGTAAAATATTTCCTCGTTATAAAAATGCTCAATCAAGAATGCAATTATTATAAAAAATTTGGGGCGTTACACGCCACGAATAGGAAACCCTGATAAAAAGATGAGTTAAATAAATTCTAATTAAAGAATGAATAAAAAAAGAAGGGAAAGAATAAAAATTATACTGTGAGTCTTAACCTTCCAACCAAACCTATTTGAGAGGTACATCCGAAATCTAACTTCTATCAGAGCAATGGTCAACAATTTTTCTACCCAACCACGGCAATTGGGAATCTCTTCAACAATTTCCATGGTTGCTGAAAAAGGAAAAGTGAAACAATCAAGGGAAGTACAAACTCTTAAAAAAAGAGAAGAGAGAAAGTTGTAAACAAAACTTACGTGCGAAATTCCACTTTTCAGGAAAGGGCATATTTTCTTCACCACCTATCCCTGTCGTAGGAGCAACAACAAATCGGGCGTACCAGCCACGATCTTTATCATCTTCAGAACTAACTAAAACTCTCTTACTTCTTGCCACCAAAGTAAAAATCTCATGACGGAATAACCTAGGGGAGTAGAGATGGATTAACTGAAAAAGGTGAAAGGCAATTGAGCCAAATTAGCAAAATATCTTAAATATGCAACAACCCTACATAAAATAGGGCCAATTTGTCCTAAACACACATTGAAGAAGTGGCAGAATTCAATAATAACTGGATCAATAGGGGGTCTAAAGTCCAATGTAAAGGGGTACGTATACACAAAAGAAAAGCCAGCTTTGAATGAAGTGATCCTTTTATTTGCATTAGAGATTAGAATTGGGAAATCGAACTTCCAATGACAATATCTACGAACAACAGAGATCAAACCTTCAATAATCTATGAAGGATAAACATCGGCACGATCATGAGAGGATATAGAAGAAACCTGGTTTCTAATCGATTCTCTATTAGTATAAAAAGAAAGTTCAGAAGGGATAATTTCATCTACTGTAGGTTTACGGACTTGCTCATTGGAATCTCTACTTCTAGCACAAGACCTATGTGGAAGAGAAACCCTAGTTCTAGAATATGAAGGAGGAGTGGAACTAGGTTGAGAAGAAGAAGAACCTCGAATGGAAACTGACCCTAAACTACACAGCCTGCCCTCTCTCCTGCTTCTAGTAGGAACAAGGGGAAGTTCATTTACAATAAGAACTTTTTGAGGGTCAGGGTTTGAAGAAGACATAGCTATATGAAGAAGAAGAGAAGATTGAATAGTCAATGATGGAAAAAAATTCTATGAAAGAAAAGACAAAGAATATATTTATACTCAGAAGCAATTGTCAAACAAAAAGGTAATGATGGAAACGTCATAATGAAAATTGTCACTTCGTAATTGATGTAGCTGTAAAAAACCCTAAAAGACGCTGGAGGACTGCAAAACCAATCAAAAGCCACCATGTGTTACATGCATTAAATGGAAGTGACATGCGAAGCGTCAGTTCTGGAAAAAGGTATAATGATATGTGAGAATTGCGGCAAAATTCTCGCTTTAATGAGATCTACTTGCCAAATATTCAATTGCTGAATAAATGGCAAGTGGGGAGACTATCTGTATTGGGAAAATCGAGTTAGTATTTGGAATTACTTATGTGGTTGACATGTCAAGACACATGGATTAATAAGAGAGTGACAACTGGCAAAGGGTATACAAAGAGACACGAGCCTTAATAGGTACGGGCAAAGGTTCACGAAAACAAGAAGGAACGGTTACTCGGATCTCTTGATAATTTGAAGAGACATCAGTGGAATGAACCAAGATAGCAAAAAGTACAGATACATATTATCTGCAATTAATGAGCATAAATGATGGAGAACGTTATAGAATCTTCACGAAATAGTTACGATTGCCAACTATAATGTTTCATTAATGTCATTAATTGCTCATAATTGCTCTATTATGAGAGGAAAGAAACGTAGTGCTTAGAAATAGCTATAAAAGGAGAGAAGTAATATTTTGTATGGACACACTGATTATTATTGGAATATACTTATTTATATTGCTTTATTTTGCTTACTCGGCTACTTCTCAGTTCAATTTTCCTTTTTTCATTACATAATTATTTTGTTATTTGGTTATGAGTAACCCGAGTTCTTCTAAAATTAAGCTTTGACCGAAATTCTTATTTTCTGGTTAAACACAAACCGATTACTAAGTTTTTCTTAATAAGATCATAGGTTCAATATAAATCTACGATCAGACGGAATAATTAAGATAGTTTTTTATTTTTAAATAAAATTAAAAAAATACATAACTGAACCAAATAAATTTATATGTATATATTATATGTATTAAACTTAAAAATAACAAAGCTTTAATGTAATATTAATATATTGCAATCATCTTTTCTAAAATTTTAAACTTGGAAATTTATTAATATATTGACCATTAAACTCTTTCTTATTTGAACTAGATAAGAACATCAAATTTAGAATTTAAAATCGAATAAGATTTTTATTTTATCTATAATAATTTTTCCCAAATATTTAGAATTTAAAATAAGCTAAGACTTTATCGTCAATATATAATGGAATGTAATTAAAATTCCATTTTAGAAAAACAAGTTCTTTTAATTAAATAAACTCAAAATAAATAGATATATATCAACAACAACAACTACCCAGTAAAATTCCACAAAAGTGGGGTCTAGGAAAGGTAATGTATACGCAAACCTTACCTCTATCCCGATAGGGCAAAGAGATTGTTTCCGATAGACCCTCAGCTCAGGAAGACAGAAATAAACATATGAAAAGACAATTTATAAGTAACTTCAGCAGAAACCGTAGAAATAGTAACTGAAGCATAAAAACCAAAAGATAAATGACATGCAACAATAGTAACCAGTATCTAAGGCCCGGGGCTAAGATAAACAACAAGGATAGTATGGACTCAACATAAACCGCAAGCCATCTAAGATCAACCCTATGCAACCCCGCCTCACTTTGGGTATGAAGTAGGGAAAACTCTACTACTCTCTAGCCTACAACCCTAATGCTTGACCTCCAGACCTTTCTATCAAGGGTTATATCCTCGGAAATCTGCAGTCGTGTCATATCCTGCCTGATCACCTCTTCTCAATACTTCTTAGACTGCCCTCTACCTCTTCTTGTACCCACCAAGCCAACCACTCACACCTCCTCACCGGAGCATCAAGACTTCTCCTCCGCACGTGCCCAAACCATCTGAGCCTCGCTTTTCGAATATTGTCATCCACAGGGGCCACACCCACGTTCTCCCGAATATATTCATTCCTAATCTTGTCTATCCTAGTGTGCCCGCACATCCACCTCAACATCCTCATCTCTGCTACCTTCATCCTCTAGATATGGGAGTTCTTAACCGGCCAACACTTTTCCCCATACAACATGGCCGGTCTAACCACAACTCTATAAAACTTACCTTTGAGTATCGGTGGCACTTTCTTGTCACACAAGACTCCAGATGCAAGTCTTCTTTTCATACAGCCCACCCCTATATGGTGAATGACGTCCTCGTCAATCTCTCCGTCCCCCTGAATCACCGGCCCAAGGTACTTAAAGCTACCTCTCTTGGGGATGACCTGTGATCCGAGCCATACGTCTCTGCCTACTTCCCTAGACTCAGCGCTAATCGTGCACTCCAGGTACTCTGTCTTAGACCTACTTAATTTGAAACACTTATACTCAAGGGTATGTCTCCAAACCTCCAACCTCGTTAACCCCGTCCCTCATCTCTTCAGTTAGAACTATGTCATCAGTAAATAACATACATCATGGCACATTCCTTTGAATATGGTGTGTCAATGCATCCATCACTAAGGCAAATAAGAAAGGGCTAAGCGCAGAGCCTTGGTGTAATCCCATAACAAGTGGAAAATGCTCTGAGTCGTCTCCCACAGTCCTAACCTTAGTCTTAGCTCCATCATACATGTCCTTGATCTCTCTGATGTAAGCTACCGGCACGCTCTTTGCCTCAAGACATCTTCAGAGCACCTCCCTAGGGACCTTGTCATACGGTTTCTCCAAGTCAATAAACACCATGTGCAGATCCTTCTTTTTATCCCTGTACTGTTCCACCAACCTCCTAATAAGGTGGATAGCTTCCGTAGTGGAGCGACCCAGCATGAACTCAAACTGATTGTCGGATATAGACGTCTTCTTCCTCACCTTACCTCAACCACCCCTTCCCAAACTTTCATGGTTTGACTTAGTAACTTGATACCCCTATAATTGTTACAACACTGGATATCACCTTTGTTCTTGTACAACGGTACCACTGTACTCCACCTTTACTCATCTGGCATCCTCTTCTCCTAAAAATCACATTGAACAACCCAGTCAGCCACTCCAATCCTTCTATACCCACACACTTCCAAAACTCAACCGGAATTTTGTTTGGCCCGCTCGCTCTGCCCTACTCATCTTATGCAAAACCCTCATGACCTCCTTCACCTTAATGCATCTGCAATACCTAAAATCCCGAATACTCTCTGAATGCCCCAAATCCCCTAGCACTATATCCCGATCCCCCTATTTGTTTAGAAGACCATGGAAGTACGTCTGCAATCTCTCCTTAATCTGGGACTCTCCCATCAATACTCTACCATCCTCGTCTTTGATGCAACTTACTTGGTACAGATCCCGTTCCTTCCTCTCCCTTGCTTTAGCGAGCCAAAACAACTTCCTGTCCTTGCCTTTTTCCCTCAATTCCTTGTACAGATGACCAAATGCTGCATTCTTAGCCTCCGTGACCGCCAGCTTTGCCTCCTTCCTCGCCACCTTGTACCTCTCTCTATTCGCTCTACTCTCCTCCTTGCTTGTGCTCCCTGCCAACTTCACATACGCTACCTTCTGTCTCGCCTCCTTTTTCTCGCGAAATTGGGTTTATGACATTTGGAGGGACAACTCGTTCCTTTTGGGAACTGGGTTTTTGTATTTGAAGAGTCGCCACCTAATAAGTTAAGGTGCATTAGGACACCAATAGAGATTCAATTCTAAGTTTGTTTGGGTAACCAGAGATTGGGTAAGTGCTTGAAATTATCCTAAGGGGAAGGTGTTAGGCACCCCTCAGGATCTACTAGTGTGGTTCCTGGCCAGACAGTTGTTGTGAATTTGGGATGCAATTGACATATCAGCAGATAAGGATCAAATAAGAGGGGATTTCAATACACAATAGTTTGAAAGTAAACAAAGTTTGAAAGAGCAATTAAAAAGAGCTGATTTTAAATAAGAAGTTACAATGCTAAAAAAGAGAAAGGGGAAGTAAAAAAAGGGGGTCCTAGGTTTATAAAAAATATGTATCACATCAATGCAATACCCGGTAATCACTACTCAAAAGAGAGGTTACACGTGGTATTAGTGCACCGGTCATCATATCCATATCTACCCTTTCCCACCCCATTTAAGGTACTAAAGCGCGGATTGGTTTCGAACACCATTACATGCTATTACCCGTCCTGTTCCTATCAGTCCCGGAGGCACTTAGGACTACTAATCCTAAAGGGGAGGGGTATTAGGTTGACGTGAAGTTTCAAAGGTAAAAATCTAAGGCGGCATACAAAACATATAAAAGACTGCACATTACAGGGGAAACACATAAACACATAAGGCTCAAGTATACCTCCTCAAACAAAAGTACATAACTAGCATGACTTGCACATACTTTTTAGGTCTGATTAAAGCATATAAAGACGAAGGAAGTTAATTATTGAGGCAGATTAGTTTATTACATAACTCAGATAAGAAGTCCAAATCAGGCCTGCCTGCTGGTTGTAGCAATTAACAAAATGGATCCAGTTTACAATTATTACTCTAAGGCTTGCCTAAGTGTTTAGACGGGGTCCTATAGGCATGATATCTACTTAATTCAGAAGGTGGTGAGACAGTGATAACTCAAAACGTACTGCTTGAAATCCTATAGCCATGCTTGCTAAACCTTGTTGAAAATAAGGGAATTATTAAACGGAGGTTCAGAATAGACGAATTTAAATTAGACTAGTTCCAGATTCTGCAGGTGATGTTATCTACTATTATTGATTTTAATCCCTATAGGCATGATATCTAACATTGAATGTGAATAGAAACGAACTAGAATTTTACTTAAAAACCCCTTTAGGCATGATTTCTATATGTTACTGATTTTAGCATGCTATTGGGTTATAATCAATTGGGCCCTAAAAAAACATGATATCTAAATGGTGACAAATGTGCAGAATTTCAGATAATCCCTATAGGCATGTTATCTTGATGTGAATTGAACAAGCGAGTCCTATAGACATGGTTTCTAAATGTAGTACGAATATGTAGAATTAGAGCAGTCCTATATGCATGTTTTCTAATACAAATTGAACAAGTACAGAATGTAGTCCTATAGGCATGTTTTCTACCCTTGAGCATGTATAATTTCCCAACCCTTTTTTCACTAGCCAGCCCCAAAAGTTCATTACAAATTATTACAAACCAGGAATAATAAATTACATCAGAAAAAGTACAAAGAAATGTTACAACTAGAGGAAGCCTGATTCTTGACTTTCTCTCTGAGTTATGAGATAAACCAACTCAAAATACCATCGATCCAAAGCCTTTCTCAGACTTGAGTGTGTCAGAGTTCCCTAAGGGCCTTAATAGGACCTCGGGCAGTGCTCACACCCAAGTTTAATGACCAGAATAGGGACAAGTATAGTGTGAATCTACCAGCCCTCATGTGTCCAAGTTCAGAGGGAGCTCATGGGTCCCAAGGCAAGGCTAACATGAGGGGGCAGAACTTAAGTCTAAGAAGAGAGTGAAAAGTGCGGAAACTGAGTTTTAAGAGATGAGGGAATAAAGGAGAAGGAAAGGGTGATAGGAGATAGTCATTAACACTTCAAAGAGTTGATAACTTCACACAAAGGGGCAGGGGATTGGGAATCCATTGCAAAGAGCCTATATACTTAGGCATGGGTTAACTTTGGGCATGTACAACAATAGGGAGTGTTGTCATGCTTTTAAATCAACCAGAGCACACAACATATATGGGAAACATGGGGGGTTATGATCCTAGGAGGATCAAGTTTGGGTTATGCTCAACAATGTTCAATGCTGTCATGCCCCAAACTAACCACAAGTATTAATCACATTGGGGTAGGGATTTGGGATTCATAATACATTGATTCAGAACAGGAGAAAGGAAATTACAGCATGCTAAGTAATGGTATTGAATTAAATACAAGCAGTAGGCAGACAATAATGCAAGAACATTAAGTAAGCATGTTGTTGTTCATACTGAAAACTTAATTAGAATATACCAGTCAAAGAAGCAAAGTGCAGTAAAGAAAAGTAGCAGGACTTTGAAATATAGCCTTGACTTTCAACCGGCTAAACAGACAGTAGCACAAGTAGTAGTAAAGCAAGAGAGAGTGTTTGAGTGTAAGTGTGAGTTCAGAACTAAAAGAGTTTGTGTTTTTAAAGAGAAGAAGTACCGGGTATTTATAGTTTTTGAAAACGAGTAAGAAAGAGGTAATAAGCTACAAACATAGAAACAATCATGATTTAGAATCAATTATACAAGTGATTGCCCTTAATTAAGGGGTCACTTGCTTAACGGCAGTGACAGGTTCAAAATAAGAAAAGCAATCAATTAAAAAGCAGGCTGACAGTTGCCATAAAAGAGGTAGTAAAATAACAAGTAAGCAATTCGAGTGTAGATACAGAGATACTCTAATTTTGGAAAGGATTCAGTAAGGCAAAACAGGAAAGAAATCAATTAACCTTAATAGGCGAGTGAAATCAGAATCTCACAAAGGAAAAGTTTAAATTTCGTCACGAGTTTGAAAATTAGTCAGAGAAGGAGACTCATCATATAAATAGGGTGCATAAACACTATACATGCGAGGATAGGACTGTTGGCAAGAGGAAATAGCACACAATAGTAGCACAAAGATTCAGTAGATAGCAACATTCGAACCATGACAGTCCAGTAGGTCAAGTAGTAAAGAAAACATAGAATATCAAAAGCATGCGAAGGTCTCACAGTAGCAGGTGAGGAAAACCCCTTAAGAAAAATTAGGGTTTCGAGCATATTTGAGTTTTAGAGAAGACAGAAACCCAATTATCAGAAGAATCACATAAAGGGAACAAAAGATTTCGAAATAAAGAACTTTAAATCGAGTCAGACCCAAAACCCTGGGATTTTCAACAATAGAAGAGTTTTAAAAAGAGAATAAGCAAACAAGGCAAACAAATATTCGTTTAATAAATAGTTAAAAGAAATTAGGGGTTTTAACATGCAAACTCAGGTAGAAGAACGATATAAGCAAACATAGCCAAACATGTCAAAGAATCAGAGAAACATTTTAAAATAACTTAACAGAAACCCTAATAAAAAAGATAAGGGGTTTTGAAGGCAGAGTTTTAAAAGAAAATTTGAGAGAAATGCTTAGAAGTTCAAAGCAAACATAGATCTGAAGCAGATCTAAAAAAAAATCGAAAGAACCTTAAAGGCTAGAGTTTCAGAAGAACCCCAAGTGGTGAGAAAGGCTTTGAAAACCAACGATCTAAGCAGGAGAGTCAAGAGTCTAACTCAAATAGCCATGGCTGGCCGGAGAAAAAGTCAGAGACGACCGGAGAACAGTCATGAACTACAAACAAACAAGGCGTGGACCAAGCTTTTCTAGATCTAGCCTTGAGGCCATAAGAATCGAACACTTAGAAGCCATGGGAGGTGGATGTAGGTCTCCGATGACTTTGGGAACCATAGATTTGGGGAGGTATTAGGGTTGTAGTTGATGGCGGCGGCTAGGGCTTGAGAGGATTGCAGAGAGAGTTGAGAGGGAAGGGGATTCAGAGGCGGCGGAATTTGGAAATGAGCCTAGGGTTATGGGTCGTTTGAATTAAAAAAGGCAAGGATGGTTGTTGGCCGTTGATCTGAATGATCAACGGCCTGGATCAAAATGGG